GAGCCAGAGCTAAGAAAACCAATACCCTTCACAAGATTAAATACTTGGGAGTAAATCTAACAAGAAGCACAAAGGATCTATTCAAGGAAAATGATAAAACATTAAAATAAAAGAAGACCTGGAGAGGTAGAAGAATATCCCTTGCTCATGGATAGGAAGACTCAATATTGTGAAAATGGCAATACTAGCAAAGGCAATTTACACGTTCAATGCAATCCCAATACAAGTATCAATTCCATTTTTCAACGAGATGGAAAAGGTAATCTCCAGTTTCGTTTGGAATGGAAAGAAGCCTCGAATAAGCAAAGCACTCCTTAGAAATAGAAAAAAGCAAGGAGGCATTTCACTCCCTGATTTCAAATCCTACTACACTGCCATGGTGATTAAGACAGCATGATACTAGTACAATGACAGACACATAGATCAATGGAATAGAATTGAGAACCTGAAAATCAGCCCATCTACCTATGGACAACGGATTTTTGACAAGGAGATGAAATCAGTTAAGTGGGGAAATGACAGCCTTTTTAAAAAATGGTGTTGGCAAAATTGGAAGACTATCTGCCGAAGACTCAAGCAAGATCCACTCCTCACTCCACATACAAAACCCAACTCAAGGTGGATCATGGACCTAGGACTAAAACCAAGGACTATAAACTTCATTAAAGAAAAGTTTGGAAGAACTCTAGTAGTCCTAATCCACAAAATAAACAGTCTTCCAAGTATCCTGAAAAATCTACAACCAGGAGAAGAGAAAATAGATGAATGGGACCTTCTAAGAATCAAATCCCTATGCACATGCAAAAACTTCTCCAACAGGGTAAAAAGGAAAGCCACAGACTGGGAAAAAGTATTTGGGAATGACATGTCAGATAAGGGACGTATATCTAGAATTTATTAAATCCTTGAGCACCACAACAAGATAAAGGTAAATAATCCAATTGAAAAATGGGCTCAGGATATGAACAGACATTTTACCAAAGAAGACATTCAGATGGCTAACAAGCACGTAAAGAAATGTTCAAAATCCCTACCTCTAAGAGAGATGCAAATCAAAACAACTATGGAATATCATCTCACCACAGTCAGAATAGCAATATTTAACAGAACAGCAAGCAACAAATGCTGGCGAGGTTGTGGAGAAACTGGAACCCTTATTCACTGTTGATGGAAGTGTAAAATGGTGAAACCACTGTGGAAAGTGGTGTGGTGCTTTCTCAAAAAGTTGCAAAGAGAGATAGTATTTGACCCAACAATTACATTACTGGGAATATACCCCCAAAGAGACCATAACCAACATCCAAGCAGATATAGGCACACCCATGTTTATCGTGGCTTTGTTCACAATAGCAAGGAGTTGGAAACAACCTAAGTGCCCATCAGCAAACGAATGGATAGGGAACCTGTGGTATAGTCACACAATGGAATACTATGCTGCATTGAAAAACAAGGAGCTTATACAGTATTATTCAAAATGGGTGACCTTGGAGGACATTATGCTGAGTGAAATATCTCAGTCACAAATGGACAAATACTGCATGGTTCCATTGTTGTAGAATGAGACTGACATCAGGGTTGAGGTAAGACTGAGAAAAATTGGATAAATTATGTATACTGCATTGAAACAGATGAGGGAGAGAACTGTTTAAAAGCGATATATGATAGGGTATTACGGTTATCACAAGAGTTCAGAATTAAGGTTGTATAGTGGAGTGTACTCAGAGCTGTGAAGGAGGGTTGGGGGGGCATCGTATATTAATGAAGGAATTTTTCTTTTACTTTTCAAAGAGGGGAGCAAACTGGGGGAAAGCAGTGGGCAGGGAGAAAAGTGCAACAATGAATGAATGGAAATGCAAAATCTCTGTAAGTGTTCATTAAAATTAGTAAAAGAAAATTAAAAAAAAACAACAAAACAAATATTTAGTATTGGCTTCCCATACAATGCAAATGAAACCAAACTCTTTCTATTGAAAACCTTCTGCTTGAGGGAGGGCTCAGCAAATACAATGCAAGAATCTGGTAAATCCTTAAGGATTGCCTTGGTGCCTCAGGGTGAATTCCATCCTGAAACAGCATTCAGTTTATTACAACTATTTAGTATTGGCTTCGTATTTTGCTATTGTTGAAAATATATACAACAATTTATGTAAATTCAACAATTTATACATATTCAATTCAGTGTATTGGTTAAATTCTTGAATTGTGCAACTATCCTCACCTTTCATTGACAACTTTGCTGGAGAAGAGCATTGAACATTCCACAGACAACCAAGAGAACACACATATATTGGAGAGGATGCAGCAAGAGTGCTCTTTGGAGGCAAGAATGATGAGGCTTTACCCTCACATAGTTTGGGCATGTTGGTAGGACATGCTAAGGCATGTTCCTTAGAGTAGGACATGATGGTGGGAAGGGTGGAAGGTCAGTGAAAGAGAGGAAGACTCTCAACTAGGTAGATTGGCACTGTGACTGCCTTAATGGGCTCTTATGTGTCAGAAAGTGTGAGGATGGCACAGGATAGAAAAGGGTTAAATTTTTTGTTCATAGTGTTACTATGAGTCATAGTAGACTCAATGACACCTAACAACAACAACACAACATGTTAAAGTTAATTTAGACTAATTTCTATTCAAAAGTAAGTAGTAGGTGCTCTCCTCGGCAGCACATATAATAAAATTGGAACTCTACAGAGAAGATTAGAACGGCCCCTGCACAAGGATGACATGCAAAGTCATAAAACATTCCATATTTTTCTTAATCATGAGATTGTACAATTTGATAGGTGAGGGGGTGAGGGGAATTGGAAGAATCTGGTCTGAAAAACAACATATTCAAATATTGTAAAAAAATTTAAAAAAAACCTAGTATAATAAAAAAGTAAGTGGTAGGAATCCCTTGAAATAAAAGGTAAATACTCTGGTTTTGGAAAAGTTGATGTGAAGGGGGGCAAAATTACATCTTTAGCTTCTTAACATGGAAAAAAAATTACTTGTTGAGACTTCCTTTTCTGCAATTAGTTACCCAGGGAAGAATTATACAACTCACTGCTGTCAGATTAGTTCTGATTACTGGTGAAAACCTGATCCCTGAACCAGTTTTCAAGGCTCTAGATAAAAATTAAAAGACTGTCTGTCCATCTTTCTCCCAGGGCGCAACTTGTGGATTCAAATGACTAGAGATACAGCATTTTGACTAGCTGCAAAATAGCCCACTACTCTGCAGATCTGGGGGAAATGATGTATATATAATTTTTTAAAAATCTTTTAATGATTCCCTAATATTAATGGTGTATTTAAATTGGCATATTTGCAACCTTGCTAGTGGAGTATTGGCAATATTCTTGTTTTGTTGTATACCAACAAAGCAAAGTTGTGAGTGTTTAGAGTGGTGAATGGGATTTGTACTAATTTGAAAAGTGGACTTTTTTCAGTGAAACAAAATATGTCAAGGGGTCACTCTTAATATTGCTTATTAAATATCAATTTTCAAGTTCACATTTACAAGATCTCTTTTTATTCTCACAAAAACTCTGGGAATTTAAAACAAGGATCAGTGTTACTAACTTGGCTATTTACAAATGTGGAGAAAGTTATCAAAGTCAAATAACTTGTCCTGGATCATGTAGCTGGTGTTGACTGAGGTATTTGTGAATTGAAAAGATTCCATATTTTACCTGATATAAATGTTGAGACTGGCATACTGTTTAAATCAGCAAAAATGGTGACCCCATGTGTTACAGAGAAGAACTGCTTCCTGAGGTTTGGCTGCAAACTTTACAGAAGAATTTATTTCACAGTGCCCCTGGGTAGGTTCAAACTGCCAACAGCTAAGCACAGACTATAACCCAAGACTAAACTTTCTTCCGTCCAGCTAACTGTGGCTCCTGGGATCCTCCATCAGATTTCTGAGGCTATAAATCTCTATAGGTGGAGACTATATCAATTGAATTGCTAGTGGATTTGAACCTCTGACCTTTTAATTAGCAGTACAACAGATAGCCTATTACATCACTTGGTCTCCTAACATGTGGTATAGTTTCTGTGTATTGACTGACTGTTTGAACGTGTCTTTTGAATCTAGTTCAGAGTTCTTTCTAGTATTCTACATAAACCATAACCATAAAATTTGACTCTAAAAGTAAAACCAGCTGAACAGGAGGAGACTTGGAGAATAATAAGAAATCTCTAAAAGTAGGAGATCAGGGATAATACTTCCCTGAAGGATGAGGGAATAAGAAATAGAGGCAACAGCTTTTGGAAAGGTCAGTGTTTATTAAACATGTAAATGTAAGGACATTTGGGAGTTTGAGGAGAAATATACAGAATATAGAAAAATCCTAAGGATCCCCTGTGGCCGAGAGTGCAGCCTCTCTCCTTTCTCACCATTTCCCATTTCTTTTTCCTGCTTTCAGTTTGGTTGTTTAAAAGCCCTTTTTTAAATTTTGCTCACCTCAACCGTCTTCTACCCCCTGATCTGTGAGGATCCATTGTCCCTCTGTCCTTCCCCCAGATCCATAGTTCCAGAACTGTGCTCCAAAAGGGTCAGGGGGACACCAATCCTGTAGCTGAGGTTGAGGATCAGGGGGTTCCCCCCGCTGTGTGGGCTTAGCAGTGTAGGGAATTGCAAAAGCCACATGACGTCATTGGGCCTCAGTCATGGGGGAGGGGGTAGATCATGGGCAAATAATTTTTTTTTAAAAAAAAGAATGGATTAAAAAATAATCAACAACCTGAATAAACCCTGAAGAAAAGTCTGATCTGAATGTTAGCTGAAAGGACAGAGTGTAGGGCTGGGCCACCTGGAGAAGGGGCGAGGCAGATGGGAAAGTGCCAGAAGTCTAGGCTGAATGCAGAGGAAGAGAATGCCAGGTGGCCTGCGGG